AATTTTAAAATATTTTCCAGTTTATTATTATTCAACGAAAGGACTTTACTTAAAATCTGCGATTTTGGCACCGCTCGAGATATGTCTACTTTCATGACTAATAACCAGGTTAATTGTTATACATTTTAAAAATTAATTAGTATTTTAATTTTGTAGTTTATATTTATTAATTTAATTTAACCTAGGGCACACCGAGTTGGATGGCACCGGAAGTATTTCGGGGCAATGAATACGATGAAAAGTGTGATGTTTTTAGTTGGGCTATAATCCTATGGGAAGTCCTATCTCGGAAAATACCATTTGGTTGGATAAATGATATTGTGTGTATACAATGGGCCATACACAATAATGCTAGGCCACCTTTGCTAGCTAACTGTCCAAATATTATAGAAAATTTGATGACTAAATGTTGGGCTAATGATAAAGTAGCAAGACTATCCATGAGTGCAATTTTGGGAATTATGGACCAGGTTTTTGATTATGTTTACGACATTTATCACGGAAATAATCAAGGTTTGAATCGGTTATTTAAAATAAAAACCAAATTCATACATAATTAATATGTTCTAGGTGACTTTGAATTTATGCTACCACTTACCTGTTTAAGTGACGCTCAAATGGCGGCCAAAAAATTTTCAGGTATTAGTTAAAAGCAATTAATTTTATTTTCAATTTATTATAAATTGTTAATTTTTCATATCTATACTTTAAAATATTTGTTTTCCAATAAATTAAACTAGCTAAGCCATATCCATCACCCGGTGTATGGGAGCCGGTTATAGGCGATAATATCCCCGTAAATGATACTGTGGTGGGCGGGTATGAGGCAAATGGTGAAGCAATTTACGTTGGCCGAGTAATACATGATCAAGATACTTTACCTGGAAAGGTATACTCACATAAATTCTATTATCATAAATCATTATATTTTATTATGGATTACTTTAATGCACACATTTAAAAAACAATTATCAAGGTAATTCGGTCGCACGGAGTGTGTTACGTGTCATGTAGCGGGGAGGAGTACAGGTATCAACGGTACCAGGTGCTAACTAACCCGCACCACTGTGAACTAGTGTGGATATACGAGGCGGGTGGTAAGGTACCCAATGGTGCTCTAGTAGGTGGTCAAGATATGGTGGGTGAGAATATGTACATTGGTCGCGCTAACCATAATGGGTCCCTGGTGATTGGCAAAGTACACCCCAGTCACCGATGTTTGTACATACCATACGGCGGTTATGAGATTAAATACAGTGATTACGAAGTACTAGTTTGTAAATATGTTTGTTTCAGTTAAGGTACTTGTAATGAAATTATTGAATATT